ACCTCTGGCATTGGACAGCAAGCCCAGCCACCTTCTTGGGTTTTACAGCAGGTGGTGCCATCAGGACAGGCTGATGTATCGTCACATGGAACATCGTTTGCTGGAGAAAAGACATTGAGAAAAAAATTAATTCACTAATGTTTCATGACTGCCATCGTCGTGAGCCCTCATTTCCACTGACTGAATGTAATAATCATCCTCATGAACCATTTGATAAGTGATACGAACAACCAGCGAGATCATCATGAGATTTTGTCAAATTTGGAATTGACGACAATAACAGTTCCATGTTATAATTACTAAAACTACCCGGTGCACTCTTTGACCACTCGCAGTATTATGGAGCAATGTCAGTTGTCAGTGAGTTTGAACACGAACAAAATTAAAGAAAATGAAGACGCCCCAATCAATTAAATATTATTTCTGAGTTATGACAGTAAAAAATGCATATAACATAAAATCTAGTATAATTTACCACAGACTAGGGACACGTCTTTCAATATTTTTGTTTTACTTAAATACCTGTCAGTAAAGACATCCATTCTCTGACTAAGAATTCATGAACTCGAAACTGCAAACATTTTAGTTGTATTTAAATAAAAGACTAAAACAATTACACAACTGCAAATTAAATATAAAATGTTTCTCCTGAAATACAAAGTCCTGAACGATCAGGGCCTGTCATATGTTATCCACACCTCATAAAACCATATTATTCCAATAGTTATCATTTATAGTTGGCAGGAACTGAGGAGGAACAGAGCTGTTTTGGGCAGAAGTAAAGCAGGCAAAAGCACTGTTATATTAAGACAGCTGCATTCACCACTATTCCTTTCTCTTGTAGCCAAATCAGAGTCAGTTTGGAGCAGTCTGTGTTATATGAGGAAGTATTTACCAATACAGTCACACATACTGGAACAATTTAGATGTCACTACAAAAGCCATTCTTTAAAAATAAAACTTCTCCTTTTTCCAAGTACTTTAAAAGGTTGACTGTCAAGTTTGATTTGTCAAACAAACCGTGTGGTGCTTCAGGTTTCTGCCCCTCAGCCTCAGTGTTTTTTTTGTTCCATGACATTGCAACAGAAATCATCACATTAAAAATATATATTTGAATTGAAAATGCATATTGGACTAACAGCAGAACCAATGATGTATATTGCCAAAAGTATTCACTCATCTCTCTTCACACACATATGAACTTCAGTGACATCCTGTTCTTAACGGGGTTTAATATCATGTCGGCCCACCATTTGCAGCTATAACAGCTTCAGCTCTTCTGGTAAGAGTTTTAGATTATTTATTGTTTATTGAAACTTAAAGTTAGGCTGTGGCTGATTTGAGTGACTGGTGAATGCAGACAGGACTGCTAAACTGTTGATTCACAGAACTGGACCTCTTGACCATACTTGCCATACAAAGTTGTTTTTGTTTTTTTAATACACACAAGAATTGACACATAAAAATAAAAAATGTGGCTTTCTGTGTGGTTATTTGTAGTAACAGCACATCCAAAAAGTGTAAAATTCTATTTGCATGTTACTTAGCAGGTATCTGTATCTGTGCGTTATTTGTTCTTAGCATTCCGGCTTGTCCCACCAAAATGCTTCCACTGATTTCAGAGTGGGTCGTTGCAGCGGCTCCCCCTTTTACCTTCAATATCATATTAAAAGTTCAAACTGGGCTGCCTGCACTGTAATATTTTGACATGTTTTTCATGAGTTACAGTGATGTTTCTGAACAAGCATTATAAATATGTTGTAATAGTTAGCAGGCTTGGTAAGGGAAAAACTACCACCAAACAAAAACATTCATTGAAGACGGGGTGTTGCAACATTTAATTATAGCTGGATAGACCTGCCTATCAGCGCCAGATTTGTCTTGTCATTACCAGGAAATAATGAAACTGGTAAGAGAAAAAAAGATTTACCTGAACCATTAATCATGCACGCACTGGCACACCTAAAAACCGACAATGCCAAAAAAAATGGCCCGAAAGTGAGTCAGTGGACCACCTTTTAAAAAATAATATCTTGGAAAGCATTTGACATACAAAGCTAAAAATTCTCAGCAGTCATTTTAAGATGTTGAAACTTGAGATGGAATCACCTTTATGTGTCTTGTGATAAATCATGTGCTTTTTTTTCCGGTCTCATTGTTCTACATTATTTGTTTCATGGGGATAGTCTCACCTGCAGCTGCCTTAGCAACTGATGACACATTTACTGTCTTACCAGATGGAGGAAGCAGATTGGCTGTGGTGACTTTGGGGGCGTTTTCTGTTCCTGTGTTATTCACTGCTTCAACTGGCACTTCTTCTGGGAACAGAAAAACACAAAGATCAAGATAAACACACACACACACACACACTTTCAAATACTTAGTGAGAACAAGGAACTAAGCTTAACGTTCACAGAAAAATAGTCAATGAAAAATTTCTGACCTTTCTGGTTTTCCCAAGCTGCTCTCACTCTGGCAGGGAGCTTTGCCCACATTGGCATCTCTTTCTTGGTAGAAGAGTCAATGCATTTGGAATGATCGACATCACATGTGGTCCCTTCAGAGCAGCAGTGTATCTTGTCAGCGCAGCACACGGCCTGTTCACATGGAAAATAATAAAACACCATTAAGTCACGATAACTGGACGTCAATGCAGGACATGCAAATCCATAATTTGACTTTTTTGTCATTCATGATCTCACTCATGGTATGGAGTAGCATTTTGTACCTTTGATAGTGGACAGCATGCCCATTTCCCGTCATTTGTTTCACAGCAGGTGGTACCATCTGGGCACTCTGAAATGCCATCGCTGCATAGAACTGTAACCACGAGCTCTGCAACAATATCACATGAACATCAAAACTCAAAACAGGAAAAGGAATAGTGATACGACTGAATTATGATACTTTGGCGGGGAAGTTGAACCTTTTTTGATGCAGCCTCGGCTGTCTGAGCTGCAGTCGTGGCCCTCAGGGCAGCAGTGTTTGCCATCGGGGCAGGAGATTCCCTGATAGCAGTGAGGAAATCAAGAATTATGAATTCAACAAAAGCATTGGAACTGTTTATCTATTCATGCAGTAAATGAAAGATTTCAAAGAGGAAAAAAGGTTCAGTGAAATAAAGAGTAACAAACGACCAGCTGCTGTTTTAGTGCAAGCAGAAACCGCTTTTACAATCTCCAGCCAGTTTATTAGGGACACTTTTTCAGCTGCCATTCTACTAATATATTAAAGCTGGTGGTGGTGTGATGTTTGGAGGATGTTTTCGTGGTGCATTTAGTACTAACTGAATATCTTTTAAATGCCACAGCCTGTGTGCTGCTGACCGTGTCCATCCTCGTATGGCTGCAGTATACCTAACTCCTGATGGCTGCCTCCAGCCGGAAAATGCACCACACCACAAAAGCTCAGACCAGCTCAACGTAGTTTCTTGACATGACAATGAGGTCAATGCACTCAAAAGTGCACAGTCATAAATCTGGGTCCAACAGAACACTTTTTGAATATGGTGGAACAGGAGGTTCACATCATGGATCTGAATCTGATGTTATCATGTCAATGTACCAGAATCTCTGAGAAACATCTCTTTGCAAAGATCAAGATGCAAAAAGATATTTAGTTAGTAACTAAAGGTGCTTGTTATATGAGGAGACTGCAATTATACAACAAGCATGTTATGCGCCATGGAGGTTTGGCTTTTTGAAATGAGGGGCTTGACCAAGCTAGAAGGTGTAGCTAATTAAGTGGCAGGTAAGTTTACATTAAACTTGTAACAAGAGCAAAAATCTATTCCAAAACACTGAATGTCCTCAGTAAAGTGTAGAAGCTTAGTGGGTCAACCAGCTATGCAAACAAAGCATCAAAGAAAGATCCTCTTTTGAGAGGAAGTAAGCTCTATCACTGTGCAAGTGTCTTTTTCATGGCATCGATTAAATGGTTAGGGACTTTGCTGTTTATCAGTTGAAAGACCGTTAGCTATAAACCTGGAAATTAAAAAAGATAAATCCCTAAATTGAAATTAAAATAAAATACAAGCAGAAAAAAAAAATGAGACGAGACATAAATAATTGTTGCGTTGGTGCTGGTGAAAGATACTGAAGTATTGGTCATACATAACAAAAGGATTTGTAGATCTGAGCCAATTTCTGTTAGAGCTTTCCCTTTAAACAGAAGACTCAAGATGATAAACAAAAGTCTTCTAAAGTGCATGTTGTTTAAATAGATTCGACTTCCTACTGTAACCCAGTGACATAAAGACATCTAAGGGTAAGGTAAGGGAAATATCCATAGCTTTCCTAATGGATGTTCTGTAACAGCAGGTGGAGTTGTTAACAGCTTAAATGCAGTTTGCAAAAAAAAAGTTAAGATTTATTTAGAGTGACTCTTTAGAAAAGCAAAGAGAAGGGAGGTGTAGTTTTACCAAACTGTACTATGTTGTTCAGCACCGACCTTTGTTATAGTGGTGTGATTCAAGATGCAAAACAGAAGTGAAAGATGTTTAAACATGCCGTACCCAAAGTACAGTAACAACCAGGGAGCTTTAAAGGAAGTGAGATGATGCTGGAAATGAATATGACAATAACTAAATATGACAAGGGGACAAAATACGTGAACCTGTTATCCAAAACATCAAAGCTACTGACAGGTGAAGTGAATAGACAAACCATCTTGTTGCCATGTACTTAGTAATCATATGCAAGTTAATCTGATATGTACCAGTCACCCAAAAATTTGCAGACTAACTCTGCCACCAATTTCCTGGTAGTGAAAACTTTCAGAGACCCTGAGTGAGTACCCCTTCTGATCAGAGCTCTTTTGGCTGCACAATATTAGAATAACGAGTTTTAATCATGTGGTTGATCGGTGTGGATGTATGGAAATCCCCTCCTAGATTCAAGATTCCTTCACAGGAATGAACCACAAATAAAAGATTAGTGTCATCACTCACTTTGTTTTTCCACTCAGTGCTACTTAAGTATGTGAAGCACGTCTTATTTGTGGTGGTTAGCTTACCTGAGTTAGAGGACAGCAGCCAAACTTCGTCAAACCCTTCAGACAGGAATACTCAGCAGGGCATCGTGACAGGTCGGGGCAGATGTTGTCGTCTTCCTGACTCTCGTATGTCTTGATCATCCTGAAGGACTGAGTGGTCAGAAGGTGGGAAAGAGGACAGTATTACTTCTTTTAATCCACCACGATTATTTAATCTGACTTTGTGACAGAAAACAACTAACGTGTGACGACGCTTACTTTAGAGACTTTGGGCTGATCAGCAGGGGTTCTTTTCACCCAGGGGATGGTCAGGGTAGTATTAATACAGCCAGATAAGGCTTTATTACAGACTGTGCCCTCTGGACAGCAGTGGATGTGATCATCACAGCACTCAGCCTGAGGAGACAGCAGTAGTAGAAACACTTTGACTACCAAAGTTTGAAACAGCTATCACATTGAGGGAAAGCGGCACGTCCTTCTATCTGGATTTCAAAGTAGTAAAACACAGCTGAGGGTGAATAGTATCGCTGCATAATTATATTTACTTTAAAGTATAAGTGAAGGGTTATCTCACATGTACATTTAACTATAGACAAAGGGACAATTTACCTACACTGAAGGTGACGTACTGCAGCTTTGCTCAGTAGGTTAGGATGGAATTCCTCCCTTTTGCACTTTTGGAGTTATTTTAAAACAGAAATCTATAGAAGATTTTGTCCAGTTACCATGAAGATGTGAACACTACACATTTTACTCTATAATATTTACATACTTGATGGCTAATAAGCTGGGCTGTTTTTAGTCTATAGGAATGCATTTAGTTGATGTGAATGAAACTGTTCATACTAATATATAAAGCTAATAGATTTTTATTGATTTAAACAAATGTCGTATAGCAAAATAATTTACAACAGGTCAATAACAGCAATCATTTCTTCTGATTATAATTGTAGATGTCCGACGTCTCTCAGAAACGTTTCTATACATTTGTTTTTTGTTTTGTTTTTAGAGATTGTGAGATTTTCATACATCAAAACTTGGTTTAAATGAGTTACTAGCAGAACATAAACCCAAATGGATATCCGCTGGGTCCCCCCCCCACCCACCCACCCACCCACTCTTACTGCAAAAAGGAAGCCAATTAAAACAAGTACAATAAATGTAATTACATTGTCGTGAACACTCAAGTTGCATGATGGTATAATAACACCTGGCCTTACGTTTTCATATCGGCAACACCCGTAACCGTTTGCTGGGCTGTTGCAGCAGGTTTCCCCTTCTTTACATAGCCCTCCATCTGGACACACATCAGCACCAACCACAGCCAGGACGGCCCAGCAGATCACAACCCACTTCTGCATCTGGAGGGGGAAAAGCAAAAGGCACACAAATGGAAAGTGAAACTGGCGGAAGGGGGGCTTTCTCTTTCACTGACCACCACGATAAATTATATTTGTACATTAAAATTCTGCACACATTCTTGATCTTATCAGGTCACAAAGAGTTTGATAACCATGCTCGGGCAGTCATGCCAGTGGTGTCTCGTTATATTCCTTATGTCTGTCTCCAAAAACCCCGAATCTCGGCTATCTGTTCAGCTCAGTTCGAGTTTTAAAGGGAAAATGTCAAATAAAAGTGATGATCCGGGTCTAAACATTGAGCTCAAATGCTGTCTCTGACAAAATAGTGGTTTTCTTCTTCCTCCAGATGTTCAACTTTATTGAAGATGTTTCTTTTATCGTCATATGAATAAGCAAAACAAATGCACAGTCTAAAATGAAATAAATCCACTTTCACTTTCGTCTGGTTTATATTCCTTAATTATCCTAAAAATCGAGCCTCTCGGGGAAAATTCTGAGCGACACAGTTGAACTCTTTATATTGCAAGATAAATACACAGACTGTGAAACTTAAAACAGCTTTTTATAAGGCCCGCCCCGATACATGCATAAATGCAATGATAGACGAAATAAAGTTTTTGATGCTCTTACCTTTATTGAAAAAAAATGAACAGAAGGGCTGTTGTGAGCAGGTGTTTCACAAGAGTCTCGCCACAAAATGACACAAATGATAGCCTGCAGTCTTGAACACACCCCGAAAGGGGAGGGAGAGGAGGTGCCTTAATGTTGCTGTACACCTTTTAACGCCAGCTCTGTCTCTTCAATGAATCAGTTTTTAATATTCATAAAACAACGTAGTACAGGCATAGTTGAGAATTTCAAAGAAGCATATTTATTTACAGCCATTAAAAATGCAATAAGAGCCTGTGACTAATAAGAAAATACGGATTGCTAACGATATCACGCTGTTTGTGTGGTACAGTGTTTGGCTGCCAAAAAGTTTCCGGTATTTGCCCGAAAATGATCGGCCATATTCAGACTGTTGTGCAAGAGTTTTTTGTCTATAATCTGTCAAAAATAATAATAACAATAATACTATTTGCAATTTCGGTTTTTGCAAAAGTGACTCTTAATCTATCTATCTATCTATCTATCTATCTATCTATCTATCTATCTATCTATCTATCTATCTATCTATCTATCTATCTATCTATCTATCTATCTA